CTAAGCTTACTAGAAACATAGTTACAGTATTTATAAGTATAGTGCATTTCATACAATGTGACAATAGTACAATGGCTAATAAATACAGTCTTCATGGTCTTGGATACTGTAATACACATGTTGTCTTGCTGTGAGTGAATAGTTTGAAATTTGACAGTAATCTCTTGTGTTTCAGCACCACCAAATTATGCTGATGTAGTGTCTGAGGAAGAGTTCTCCAGACATGTTCCTGCTTATCCACCACCAATTGACTGTGAGGAACAATTGTGTTGTCCTGTCTTTGCTTACATACAAGAGTTCCGGTTTCAGCCTCCACCTCTTTATTCAGAGGTAAAAAAATAAACAGCAGGTGGTGTTTTTATTGTCAGATGGCAAAAAAAAAAAAACAAACCCCACACATACAGAAATACAAGAATTCTAGGCAGTAATTGTTGCCTTTCTTCTCTCTGTAGATTGATCCACATCCAACTGATGTAGAAGAAATTCAGCCTGTTTCATTCATGCTCTGAAGAGGATTCGTGATGAGCATCATTGTGATGAATGTCTTAATCTTTCTGCTGCTTAAGCTGATAGTGCAGCTAAAAAGGAGACAGTTTTCTTTGTCAAAACTTAAGTTTGTGTACAAGAAAGGCAAAGGAAAACGGAGAGGGAGGTATGAGCATGTTTGGTGATGGAAGAGAATCTGCTGGATTAGTCTGCACAGAGGATACTGTGGGAGCAGCTGTGCTTGGGATACTTGAGAAGTACCTGAAAATGCGGAATGCTTTCTAAAAAGTGGATATACTACATGAAGTACGAGGAGGAGACGTAAGGATCTTCTGAAGAGAAAAGAATTTATATTTTGTTTGGAACACTCTGGAAGAATTTATGTAATTATGTTGATGTTGAGAACTTCCGTAGTAGAACTTGCGTAGTAGAACAGAATGTGGGGTAAGAAAACATTTCCAAAAGATTCCAGTGTTCAAGGGGCTTCAGTTTTGCACTGTCTGCAACCAAGAAAGGAACACTACTAAAATGTGGAGTGAAGTCTTCACTCTAGCTTAACTTTGTATTTTGTGAGAACCTGCCCTTCTAATAACTGCCAAGTGGTACTATTTCATCATTCATAATGATTCTAAAGACATCATGGATGACAGAATAGCTATTACGCAATATTATGAAGGCAACCATTTAATGAATGAAAGACACAAGTATGTAAAAGAAAATTGAACTTTGATAAGAGCTTATGCACTATGCTTTCTTTCAAGGGATTTCTTAAGGGAATTACTCTAGCCTCTTCTACTGTGAGTTCTTTTTCTGCATCTTAAGCCTATGGATAGCATGATAAGGGGAAGCATGGCAAGGGAGAATCCTTTTGCCAACAGCAGGTATACTTAGCAAAATGGACAATACTTATTTATTCAGAAGCCTTTATAAGCCTACCTCTGTTTTGGATATTTACTTAACGGTCAGATTTGAGACCAAAAAAAGTCTTGTTAAAGCTCCAGTGTACTTCAGGGTTCTAAAAGGGACCCTAAATGGTTTCTGTGGTTAGCGAATGAGATATGAGACGTAGGGAGAGGTGTAAATATACCCAGAATAGACATAGCTTATAACCGAAGTGAAAGCAGACATCAGGGGAACAAAATCCTGGTAATGGCACAAAGCTTTTCATTACTCCTGCATTTTTGTCTAGAGATCTATTGTCAGGGGCTGCACTGGTCATTTGCTATCCATACTATTTTTTTTGTCAGTGTGTTTCCTTGTGTGTTTTTGCTGTTTAATTTTGTTTTGGTGCAATATTTTGATGTTTTCTTCCTCAGGTCATTTAGAACAGTGGGAGTTTGTTGCTGCTAAGAGTGAAGGCATGGCATTTTACTTGGCCCTTCTGCTGCCTTCATGTAAAGTAGAATGTTTGCTTCCTGCCAGGCATCAATTGGAATAAGTAAGCCGCCATCAACAGATCACTTAAAGGAGCAGAAACAGAGCATTCTCACATTTACAGTGGAGTCTTTAAACTACAGGGGTTTGTGAACTACTAGAACTACTCCGTATGTCTTACAGAAGGGTTTGGGGTTAAAACCCGGTGCTTCATGTGGTAAAACGTACTTTCGGATCGCTACCAGAGGAGTAATTGAGTTTCCTTCATTTCATCCATAACTGCAGTTTAAAAAAGTTTAATGGCTTTTTTTATGAAATCTCTCTTCAATTAAGAAGCAGGGATTTTTCTACAGGCATACACGGATATATATTTTTAGTCTTAGTATGACTTCCTCACATTGTCTAATTTGTAGCACTTCACCTCAAGTCACTTCAACATCAGTGTAACAGACATACTGATTCAGACTCATGTTTCCAAACCGCAGTTATTTTTTTCATTTGCAACTTTAAGTATTGTTTTCTATAGCAAATGCAGCTTTAACCAAAATTGGAGTGCATGTTTCGGAAAGGACATTCTAAAAATTAGCATTTACCTTAAGTCTCAAGATGTAGCTCTCATGCCTTTTTATTTAAGTGATGGTGTGCCCATACAATCAATGCAGGATTTTCATTCACATCACCTGGAAAGGGAACAAGAATATTTTCCTTAAACTGCTACCATTATAGTTACTTGAAAAGTAACATGGCTGTGTATTAACTTGCATGTTAATAATTTGAAATACTATCTTAAAGAACATTAGGTGCTTTTTTGGACTGTAATACCCGATAGGTGATGCGTGCTACCTGGTATAAACATAGTCAAGCAAACAAGAGCATGAAGGGTAAAGATGTGCTTTTTTGGTTTGTTTTTCTTTTTCCTAAAACCTTGTAAGTTTTTTTTTTTATTATTTGCAGATAAACTGTGGCCTTAGATTGTTTGCTGCAAAAAAGACAAACAACTAGAATGTGTTTCTTAGGAAGCACACATGGCCCTTCAAAGGAGGGGTGAAAACAAGATTAAATTCTGCTCTCTGACATGTGGCATAGTGCAGAAATTGATCCTTAAAATAATTACTGTTTGCACAATAATAAGTTCAATATGCAGGGGCTTTGTTTTGATAACTGTGAAACAGTTTAAAAGAGACAAAATAAAAAAAAAAAACCATGCTGTTTAACATACAGGAACATGATTGTATTTTGTACTAATGAATGAGCCCCATGGGTTCTTTGTTAATAAAAGTGTCAAACCTAGATTGTGCTGTTTATCTCTGTTTTGGTGCCTCTAAGACAAATGGCTGCAATGTCAAGAAATACCAATATTCTACCACACCCATACAGAGCTCCTCCTTCTTCTCTGACCTGGGAACTTTGCCTTCATCTGTCACTTTTTTTAGTTCCCTGAACTATCCATAACCAAGAATTGGAACAAATTTATCAAACATGGCCTGTTCCCACCTGTAGTTATTATGTAATATAGAGGACTTAATTCTGGGTATCTTAGCCATAATGCTTGAAGTGGTGGGATGTGTGCTTTAATTGGATTTCTTATCTCATGTATTAATCTTGCAGGATATTTTATTGTGTCTCCTCTAGACAAGATTATCTTTACAGTGTAGTTCATTGATCTAACTACATCAGAACAACCTTATACCCATAGCACAGAATGACTAAAGCAGATCACCTCCTACCCTGGGGAAACAGATGACAAATTGTATCTCACCTGAGCCATAAATGAGATGATGAAATCTCTGTCGGGGTCCTGCCTCCCAAAGATTTGAGGAACAACGAACAGAACGGATTTCTTCTTCCTGTTCCTGCTTTCCAGGGAAGACAGCAAACCGTTCCTTGGACAATCCAGGTGAAGATGCTGTTCAGGACCACATGTTCAAGCACTGGAGCTTGCAGAAGGGGTCATGACTGATAAAATGGAAAATGCAAAACCTAAAATTCTGGTCTTAGATTTCTAAAAGGTCTCTTACTAAATGATCCTAAGCTATCCTAGCACTAAGTTCACAGCAGCAATTCCACTTCATCCACCATTAAGTTTTGAAGGGGACTATTTCTGCTGACAAATTGTAATTGTCTGTTACAATATGTTCGGTGTTTAAACAGGTATTAAACAGTGCTCTGCCATACAGGGACAGAGCAGATCCTGCAGGCTTGTGTTGGCAGCTCTGATACTTCTGATGTTTGCATGGAAACGCATATTTCACGTACAGAGTAAGAGAGATCATTTAATCAACTCCTGGGGCGTGTTCCAAACGATGAAAATAGCATGTTCCATTACTTCACCACCCAATTTGAACTGCAAAAGGGAACATCTAGCTAACTCATTTTGTAAAATCTCTTTATATCAGTAAACAAGTGTTTGGAGAGCACAGTTTGCAGACAAAGCTGATTTGAAGATAAACAATTGCTCTACTATCCCCCCCAAAAAACCTCACAGCAGAAATGCCTACTTTCTAGTAAAATTCTGCTGATATTCAGTACTCTCCTTGGGGTAGTGAATGAGCACGGGGACACAGAAACCGTCTTTCAGACTGCTGCATTTTCTAAAGCTGATTACATAGTATGTTAACATCAATATGGATAGTACAGGCTACTGCACCAAGCAGATCCTCTAAAGAACTAATTAGGTCTACGATGAACCCAGTCATTCACTTTTAATATCAAAATTTTATATGTAGCACAGACAGGGTGACAGTCTTGTTCTGAATTATGGTCATAATTTCTAAATGGTTAATACAAAATCATAGCACACAAAAGCTGAACTAGAACATCACTGCATTATTGGCATTTTAGGACAACTGACTAATAACAGTAAGTCAAAAAACCATAAAGCACAGTTCTACATGGCATGCAAAATGGCAACTCAAGTGGGACTTCACTAGAGTAGCTGCTTACGCCAGCAACGTGCTGTGGGCCGTCTTAGTTACACAGGACGGACTCGATCTGATGAAGTACAACTGTATTACTGATAAATCTCTGCACACCCATCTCTTCAAAAGAAACGAGGAAATCCTCCTTAGTTTTGGCTTACATTCAACCATCTGGCTGCCTGTAGGGTGAGGAGAACACGAAATGCAAGGTGAAAGTAGGAGCAAGTGCTGGTGCTTGACAGACATCTACAGCTAGATTGCCTCAAAGAATCTGAAGAACACAGAGCAGCCCAAAAAGTTTTTATACAAATGCACAAAGTATTTGCTGTGTCAATTGATGGCCGAGTTTCTTATTATTATTTCTGGTCTCAAATAACAAGTGACTGTGGCCAGATTAAGGATACCTAAGTAAGTATCATGTCAGACATATTTTTACTTAGCGCTTAGCAACTGTGACAGCCTAACAAAAAACATCACCCAAACATCAGGCCAGCCCTTCTGCTTTGCTTCCAGCTCTACTCAGTGTCCCAGACCTCTATGGACAGCCTTGCCCTGCCCTCACCTCCCCAGAAAACTGCTCGTTGATACTTTGCTTGTAGCGTAAGGCTCAGATGGAAGTCTCTGTAGGCTCACACAGATGGGGAGAGGAGCATAAAGACATTTCTAGTCTTATAAAATAGAAGGAGAACAGCGGTTAAAATGGTAGGCAGTCATTGGTGTGGGATGGACATGGGACGAGCGGGGAAACGGGGCAGGTATGGAAAGGAGAAGCAGTTGGTGTCGGGCAGAGGACACAGGCACAGCGGTGAGCGCTCCTCTGGGAGGGGATTTCACCTGAACACCAAAACCAACCACTCGCCTCTGACTCCTGGAGTTTTACTGGCTGGACTTGGTCTCAGATGTGGTGACACGCCATGTGCAGACAGGATGCAGATCTGTAGGCTAAACCCAGCCAAATATTTTTGGCTATGAAAACCTCATTATTTTACAGCACCTTTGAACAGCATCAGCCTCCCCGTAAATTAGGCGTTGGGCGCAGAGAGGTGGCTGGCCACTGACTGTCGCAGACAACAACAGAAGGTGATTGTACCTGTATTCCAGTACCCCGTTCTGTGATATGCATACACACGCACACACACATGCTTTTCAAATAAATGAGAAGCATACCTTGCATATGTGTAATAGCAACTTCTTACAAATCAGCTTCAGTGGATCAGACCGTAACCATGGCCTGACGTTCCATCATACGCATCTTCAAGTCAGACCGTGCAGGGCCTGTGTGCTGTCAACCGTGATACCTCAGTTTTTGGGGAACACTAACACACACTTTCCTCAGCTCTGCTTCTGGGAAAATGAAGGAGAGCTGACAGCAGGAACTGAAGCACAGGCAGGAGGGTAGTATTTTGACTGCAAGGTCTCAAACAGGATTGTTGCACACCCAGAAAGATCCCAGGTTCCTGTATAGGCCAGTCCTATTTGATGTCACATCTACAATCACTTTGTGTCAGTCACAACATATCAGACCACAGCATAAGGAGAAAGTGATTCTTATTGCTGAACTAATTAGATTAATCAATGCATAAAAGAGAGTGTAAGTGACAAAAAGTTAAATTTTCATTTAAATAATTGAAGCCCTGAAGTGCTTTTCTTCTATATCTTAATGTGATGTGACCAATGCATTAGCCTTAACAGATTAGAAAGATACTAAAATGGAAAATAGTCTGCTGTCCTGAGCGTGAAATGAGAGCAGAAAGGGAAAAGCATTAAGTGATCCGACAGATTCTCATACTACAGCGTCCTGGAGGACAGAAGTGTCTGAGAGAGTTCAGAATCCATACAGACCTATCAAGTTTTGCACGTTGTGTGCAAGGCTGGTACCATGTGCCCCAACAGCAGCATTTTGGTGTCAGCACCTCTCTCCCTCACGCTCTGACCCTAGCACTCTAGGTCGGCCCGATCCAGTACCTGCAACGCAGCAAGCAGATCTGCTTAGCACAAAGGAACAAGATCCAAAAAAGAAAAGCCATGACGCGAAGGGGCCCTCCCAGGCTGCAGCCCCAGCCCCGCTCCCGTCTCGCGGCCCAGAGCAGCTGTGCTGTCATCTGCAAGGACACGAGCTTACACGCGAGCGGCACAACTGCTCCTCCGACCCCGCGCAGGAGTCTCGCACGTCGAGGGCAAAGAATTGGAGAGGTCTGTTTGCAGGAGGTGTTAAATAGAAAGGTCCCCAGGAAGGGCAGCTTCGCAGGCTTTTTCTCATGTGATCCCACCTGCCATCGCTGGGAGAGGACTTTACACGCATCCAAACAAATTAACAATTCATTTCCAACCCTGACATGAAGATTAACCCTGCCAATTAATTCCTTAATCTCTTGCTGCCGACAAGGCTCACAGTTGCCATGTGGATGCTTGTCCACTGGGGCCTGAAGCGGGGCCATTCTGTTTAATTAATGCTGTGTCCAGGATGTGGTGTAGCTGATATTCAAACATATTCCAACTATACAAACCAGAGCTGTATCTCACACTTCACCGATGCGCCAGACAGCGTTTGATGGATACCTCAAAAAGGGCATAGATTATCTCAATGCTTATGGCAGCTTTTGCTGCATAAAGGAGATACATTAACCGACAGAGAGTCATTCAGCTATTGTGTAGTTGTATAGTTGTGGGAAATGCTTCTTGGTCATTTCCATGACAGACGTGATAACATTACAAGTTCAACAGGACGGAAAGCTTCTTTTAAGATGATTGTAGGAAACAGTCAAACTTTCTGATGAGACAGCGCTGTGACAAGAGCAGCCTCCAGCTGAAGCACAGGCACCCGCTGAGGCGTTGGGAAAGGCGTCCACCGAGGTTGCTGGCAGAGAAGAATTCCTCTCTTATTTTGCAGGTTTGTGTGACAGAGAGACAAAGATATACAGAGAAACAAGATGGCAGTGAGAACAAGCAACGGGTCTGTAGCCTCGAGAAGAGCACGGGGGAA